TATATCTAGTGGTGGAGGACAAAGAGAGAGCAGAAAGACAAAGTACAGTGTGTTCCAAAAGGTTTATAAAAATCAAAGCCTCCCTTTAGGCCTCTTGAATTTCTTCCTGACCCAGAATAAATCTCTCATGAGTGGTTCAACTTTCTGTTTCCCCTTTTTGTAACCCTCCAACAGCTGTTGTTATTGCCCTCCTCACCCAGCAACTCATACTTTTACACCATTTTTGACAAATGCTTGGCTACACTTAAAGCTTTTATTTTCCAGTTTGAAAGTACTTTTGGATGAGGTTGAATCCATAACATTTGTCATTCAACAAGTTTGAACCTTTTTTTCTGGAGATTGGGGAGACAACTTGATTTCCTTTCAATTTTACTCTGTTATTAAGTAAATACAAGAGGATGATGTTAATGTTGAAGGAAGGATTTTGGAAAATAAAAAAGCTTTGTTGATTTTTCAGTACGCTCATTTGAAGACCAACTTTCATTTTCTTAGGAGGTTGTGAGGTGTCAAATATTTCTGACGTTCGAGTTGTGTTGACGTCAGTGCTGTCGTACCCCAACAAGGGACCTTCGAACCACCTGCCTTTTTATATTGTGCAAGTCCCCCTTGTTTTGTTGAAATGAGGGGGACATGACCCAGGGGTGCATGTACACAGAACCTTTAGGAATGTCCTGTTGTGTTTTGGCACCGTGTTGCTGGCAACAGCTCTCTTGGGTTCTGTGGCTTTCGGGGTGGAGCCTCTGTGGTTTGGGCTTGTTTCAGTGTATCCCACTGATGCCTAATAAGTTTGAGATTTGGGGGTTTTGAGGCCGGGTCAACGCCTCGGACTCTTTATGTTAAATGAGCTGTTTTTGCGGCGGCGCTGTCCTGCTATGAGAAGGTTATTGCTACGAAGCGAATGTTTCTGTGGTCTCCACCAACATTTAGGAAGGCGAGACTTGTCAAAGGAGTATCCTCGTGAATAGGATTCAAGTTTCTCAGCATTATAATCAGAATATGCCACTGAGGTTATTTATTTAAAATATACATACCTGTCAGCAGTTGAAAGTTGTGACTGCTTTGTATATTGTTTTCAAAGTACAAAGAAAGAACAGCGTTTTATTAAAAATAGAAAGAATTCTTTAATAATGACACAATAAAACTTTCATAAAACTTTAAGGGTCTTAAAGGGGAAATATCATGCAAGATCCACTTTTTTATCTGTTAAATGCATTTTTTGTGTGTCTGTGTGTACTTGGAGACTCTAGGAGTGGAGAAAAGTTGAATTTAGTCTCTGTGTTGCGTAGATGTCTTTGTATCCTGTTTGGGTGATATTTTTCAACCTGTTCAGTTTTCTCTATTTTCTATTATGTTTTCTGAACTATTATGTCAAACTTAACTGTCAAATAAGGTCTGGATTTACCAACTACAATTTTGTTGTTTTCATTCTCTTCTGGCTCTGAATCAGACTCTGGCTCCAACATGTAAGGCTGGATGGACAAGTCTTCCGTTGTTGACATATTTTAATTAATTTGTAAAGAAAAAGTTTCTGTGTTGCTTATGGATGCACCAATATGAAAATTTCAGCCGATATCGATATCCGATTATAATTATTGCTGTTATGGCCGATAACCGATATTTACTGATATTACACAAACACACAAATTATATTATACACATACACACAAACACACTTGGGTCTTTTTTTGATTCCGTAAATTAACAACCAGACCCCTGACATGGCTCCCTACTTCAGTTATTCCTGGTTACGCTGTATCAGTATCACTATTATGAACAAACAGATGCCACTCAACAAGCCATCTCCCCTCCCAAAACAGAAACACAAAGCTAAAAAGTGGGAAATCAATATCGGCTCAGTTTTACATATCGGACCGATACCAATATTCTAAAAAATTGCCAATATCGGCCGATACTGACATCAGTACCGATATATCGTGCATCCCTAGTGTCGCTACATAGTTGTATCCCCCTCTATCAAACTAGAATGGACCAATGTGGAAGCTAGAGGGGGACAGGTTGTGAAGCATTTTGTTTGGATTTAAAGACAGAGCATTAAAACAAATTGATCTGAGGAAAACCGCAAAAAAAGGGGTGAAATAGGGGTTTGTGGAGTTACAATAAGGAGGAATTCAGACCAAATCATTGCAGTCCCACTTTATATAGACCATGAGCGCTATACACCGAGGTATTTTAGAGCTGTCTAACTTCACTTGATAAATTCTCAGAAAATTATCATTGGATGTACATCTACAACTAATAAACAATAACTGCAACAACTAGTAAATATTAGCAAACACAAAATTGGCTATAACCCTACAGATATTAAGCTAAAATTTAAAGTGGTAGACGCTGAATCATACCAATACATAATCCGAGATCAAACAGATTGCCCAAGATATCATGTGTGATTGTGCATGGATTTTTTTTAAGATTTGACCAAAAGTACTAAAACTCCATTATTTTTCAAGATAGAAGAATCTTTGCCACAAAAAGCAGCAGGTGATACACATTTCTTCAAGAAATCCTAGGCGTTTCATTTTAATATATTTTAAAAAGGCCTGTGTTGTGTTTGATCTCCTTTACTTTCAACTACATCCATATGTTCCCAAGACAGCTTTACCCTAGGAGTAAATGACACCCAACACTGTTACACACACACACACCCCGTGCCACCCAACATGTTGGTTCCAGGAAGCTCACATCGGCTCACAGGAATACCACAGTGGGAACCAGGCACCGTGCCATACTAGATGTGCGTACTTGGAAGAACATGTACACGCAACACATGCAATCCTGATACCTTGTTTTGATCTGTGGCACGTTCTTGCAGCTACTCTCATGTCCTTGATAAGTCAACTTGACAAGCGTGAGTGTTTGCTCAACTGAAAGCATGTGAAAAGAAGAAAAAGTCTGGAGTGCATGCACTTGTAACAAAGCAGGAGAAAAAAAACAAAAAGAAATTTAGTAAATTAAAACCTGATTTCAAGCTCCAAGCCATCCTTATGATCTTATTCAGAAGTAGCTGTTAGTGTAATTGTCAAAACTTTATAATACTTCCAATTTGGTCTTGAATAAACACCTTGAAAAAAAGTAGAAAAAAGACGGACATTCTTTAGTTTTGTTGTGGTGGGTAAGAAGGGCTGATACCAGTTATTCTGTCAACTCTAAGGGGTGGAGGTCCTTCTTGTCTGCCACCTTCCACTGTATTGAAACAACAGTTGAATGATTAAAGAGCACTTAAGAGCTATTAAAATGTGCACACTGATGTTTTTCCCTCTAAATTCTTCCTCTGTAAAGAAAAAAAAAAACAAATCAGTTTAGGTGTTGTCAAAAAGTCTGCTGTAATAAGAGCTTTATCTAAAATAAACAGTTTTGAAATGCCTATTTTTTTTGAAAGATTGGTAAAGTTTGTGTGGTGAGAAAAGGCCACTTAAGAGGAAGGAAATCTTGTCTGCGGATGACTTAAAGAATTGTTCTATAATGAGCCTATAATCCAGGGCACTCATGCTAACTGAGCCGCTCTCTGACAAAATGTTCAGGAAAGAAAATTCAGGGTTAAATTGTCTGAGCAAATGGCTAGGATCATAACCTAACCAGTCAAAACATTCAGTTAAATCCACAGGTTACATGTTTCTGTTGCCAGGAATCATGTGATCCAGTCTTTTGGGGGTGGGGGGGTGTTAACTCTGTTTCAACTCCAGGGATTTTTGTATCAGGCTGTAATGAAAAAAATAATCTGGTCTTTACCAGGTTCCAAAATATTCAAATCTAATCACAAGTGCATAAAACCCAACTGAGACCAGCATGTTGTGATTTATTAAACAAATCCATAGTAAAAAATAGAAAACTTGAGTGAAGAAAACCTCAAGTCAGTCCTTGTTTCTTCCAGTAAACTTAAAGGACCTTTTCAATGAACTTTTTTTTGTAAAAGTACCTTATAAAAGTGCACAAATTTTTAAGCGTACAGTCAGAAAAATGTCTCTCGTCAACAAGCCATACTTATTCAATATTTTATTCATCTCAGATGAACGTTGCAGCTTGACTTTGGTTTGCATGAACCACACAATGTCTAGAATAATGTACTTTTAGACAGATGAGACCAAAGGAGAGGCATGTAACCATAATACACAGCACCATGTCTGGTGAAACCTAAAAACATTTTAGCAGGAACACCTCATACCAGCTGCTCATCATGATGATGGAGGGTTCATGGTTTTGCAGACACAGGACTTTGGCACCTTGCAGTCACTGAACTGAGAAACTCTTCCTGTTTTACCAATATTTTGTAGAGTTAAATGTCACCTGTCTTAAAGGTAATGCTTGGATGCTATCAGGTGATGTGACAGGACAGTGATGACAAACAAGAGCAAATATAAATTAAATGGATAAAAAAGACTAAAGTTATAAAGGTTTTGTCAAAGTCAATACCTCGGTCTATTTGTAACGTTAGGGAGGAACCAATACAGTATCTGAAAGTTTTAATGAATTGAAAAGAAATTATTGAAAAGTGAACTGTCAAAACTGCTCCAGTACAATGGGAGACTGACAAAATCAGACAGAAAACCATCACTGAGTCAAATGAATTTGGTAATAAACTATCACTCTACTAATGCGACTGTGTAATAATTTCTTAAAAAAACTTGTATCATACAGTATTATAATACTTGTTTGTTAATGTCTGTTGAATAGTACCAGAACCAGTATAAGTGGATAAGTCAACCTATAGCAGATCTTTGAATACGAACTTGATGAATCTTGAACCATTGTTGATTAATTTGGTTTCTGTATTTTTTGTATTCTTCTTGTTTATGACCTAATCCAGAACTAGTGTGGTTTTAATTAGGGGTTTAAATCACCAACTGTATCATAGTACGATATATCTGTTTCTCGATTTCCCAAAGTCAATTAGAACCAGTGGCAGTCTTTCAAAGACTATCCAGATATCCCTAACCTCACTCCCCACCCAGTATACTGAACTGTTTTTCTGCCCTTTTTCATAGGTTACCTCATCATGACGGACGACTGGTTCTCTGAGTATGTGTACGAGGTGGTGGTAGACAAGAAGTTCCTTACCCCTGATGTCCTGGAAGTGATGCAACAAGATCCTGTTGTACTTCCGGCCTGGGATCCAATGGGATCATTGGCAAATCCCTAGTTTATTCCCTACCTAATTACCTCTGCCCTGTTCCTTGGCCACTTTTACCTCCAATATTTCCCTCACAACTCTTTACAGAAAAGCCTGTTCTCATAGGAAAATAAAAAAAATTTTCTCTTTTTTTTACTGAGCTTCTTGTGTTTTTTCTTTTTGTCTACCTTTCTTTCATGACCAAATAAACTGAAGGATTGCATTGTTCAGGTTAGTGAATATTTGATGTCGGTGTGCATGCATGTGCAGTTTTAAAAGTTTGAGCAGCGTGTTCCTCTCCTCAGTGCAGCCTGGGAAGGCTGACTGTTGATGTGTTTTTCACGTGCGAGATGCTGAACAAAGCCTGACTGTGAACTTCTGAACCCATGCACCCGGGATTGCAAGTTCTGACGTCAAGAAAGACAAGTCTCGTGACAGCTTTCCATGTAGCAGCTATTTGTGTCTGACAGGGAGAATTAGCCCATCACTGAACCATACAGAACCAGACATCACACAACCTGCCTCATAACTGACCCCCGTTCCTCCTCTTTTTATACCCCTCGCAGTGATTTGTGTGTGTGGGCGGTGTGGGCGCTGCTGCTGTGAGGATTAACCTGCTTCAGCTGATTCTGATTGGAATGACGCTCAACATTTGAACAAAACGGGGCGACTGTGTGTATGTGTGTGTACTTGTATTTGTTACCATAGATCTACTTCTGGTATCCATACTGTCAAGACCAGTAATCCTTGGCTGTGTCCAAATTCAGGGGCTGCATCATTCAAAGGCCAAATTTGTCAGCCACTTACATCACTGTGCCATGCCAAAGGCCTACAATTGACCCACAAAGGAGTCCTCCTTTTGCCTGAATTTGGTTTGGATCCTTCTCTGTCTGCTCTATCCCAAGATAAACTGCGGGCGACCAAGAGATTTCTGTTGTACTTGTAATAATGGACAAATCAGGAGAAAGGAGTACAGTTATAAAAAATGTGTAAAAATGTTAAATTTAAATCTGTTGTGTTGTTGGACTTTTGTCATTTGCATTGACGTGTTTTTTAATGCTCTTGTCAGAAATCAAACAAGCTCGTACAGCAGGGCCCCAAGTTCTTCAAGTATTGCCTTTAAGCTCATTTTTTGCATCTACGTATAATATTTTGCTAATTTTGATCTATTTGTTGCTCCTGTTTAACGTTGTCACAGTTACTAAACATCAGGACATATGCCGGGGTTAGGGTGGGGAATAAAACCAAAGGCTAGACTTTCCAAATTCACAACCACTTTCTTCCGGTCTTCTCGGTCCAGGACCTGGCCCACCTAGACCGGGTCCTTTGAAGGGAACAGCCCCTGAGTTTCGACCAAAGACCGGTACTAATATGGTGGAACTCCATTCTTGGGTTGGGGGTTAGTTTAAGGACTATGATATGCATTGAGTTTAGGGTAAGGGGTCAGGATCAGGCTATAGAATTGACTGGACATGAAGTCAATGACCAATTCAAATAGAAGTAGAAATTCAAATGTGTGTATGTTAGGACACGTAAAACAAAATGATAGTTATTTCACCATAGCCAACATAAAAATGACTACCTAATCAAATTTATAGATCTGGAGCTAAAATTTGAGGTTAAGGCTCAGCTTGCACTGTGTGGACCAACTGATTTTGCAAGGTTTGTTTCGCAAGTCTACTCAAACTGTTCATCATCAAAATGTCTTTTGATCTACTCAAAGAATTTTATTAATCTATTAGAATCATTTGGTCTGGTTGTACCCCTAACTGAGACGATTAATTTTTCAAGTCAGCCCAATTCATTATGGTCACCACAGCATCAGCTGACACAAAAATGCCTACAAATCAGCCAGTTTTGGGATATTGAGCTAAAATATGATGCAATAGTAGCTGATCATAATCCCCAACACTGACTCTGAGCGCCAACATAATTTGTAAAATTTCTTTTTTTTTATCATAAAGGGTGGTCGGTGTGTTTCGTCAAAGAATGCTCAACCTTTTATTTCATACATTCCCCCACCCCTCCGTTTTAGGTTCACACACACAGTTCAGGGTAAGCAGACTGACTGTACTGTACCTGGCATGAAGCCACTTGGCACAACAGGCTGCAGGTGACTGTAAATTAGTTAGTTAGTTGATTAGTTGTTAGTTCAGAACACTGGCAAACTGGAACATCACATCTCCATGTTCAATCGTGTTGACTCCCAACCTTCTGCAGTTCATGTCAACAACACCTCTTGTTCCTTTTGGCACCAAGGAGTCTTGGATTAGGGTCAAGGATCCTGTTATAAGGCTCAGTGTGTGTGTGGGTGTGTGTGTGTCCTAAGCCCCAGCAGGGCAGAATACGGCGTGCTGTAAGCCCAGGCATGTGGGATTTGTGTGATTGGGTTTAGTCAATGCTGATAGGCGACGTCTTGAACTCTAGACGAGGAGACGCCTCATGGACACCGTGGACTGTCCTGCTGGAAATATCAAGGTAAGACCGACCGCCACCTCGCCTGCAATGAACAGCAGGTTCAGTTATTGGTAATAAGCATCACTAATTAGCTGTAACAGTCTATAAAATATGTGTTACAGATGTTTTGGGAGGTCTTTTTCATTTTATTTATTTTTAATTACTGAGGTGTTTCATAACAGATATTTCTAACTTTATTTTTAACCTGAATAGTTTATAATGTGTTATTTGTTTTGAATTTGCTCAAGGTTAGGGTTTGGTAGGCTGTGTTTCAAATTCTGTCCACAAGATGAATTCATTTATATCAACAACCTACATTATGTCTGTTCTTTGAACATGTTAATGTGTTGTTTTCCTTTGAGTAGAATGGTGTGGGTGTGTGTTTGGTTATCAGAGGTGTGCATTTACTTTGTTACAGTACATATGCTTTTATTTTTTTTATTTTTGGATGATCTGTAATTTATTATTTATTTATTTTGTTAATCATAAATAATTTAACACCTTGTCATTTGCTACAATTTTAAATATGACTGGAACTCACCATGCAGGGAATTGTTTGTGCACTCTAAAAAAATGAAGTGTTGAATTAATTTAATCAAGTGGTATCAACTCGTTCCACTAACTGAGTTGAACAAATTGAGCAATTTACACATTTTCAGTGAAAGAAAATCTGTACATCGCTTTACGTTTGTCCAGCTCGGAGGAACCAGTTTACAACATTTGGTTAAGTTCAACACTTCATCTGTTAGGATGCGTGTAAAAGTACTTTTCTGTTTTTTGTAAGCAGATTTATGACTTTTACTTAATTACTTTCGTTATCAATGATTTTTATTTTTTATTTTTTTTACCAAAGTCGTTTTCTGTAAAAGCATTTTTACTTTTACATTTTCTTTCAAGTACTTTCTACACCTCTGGTGGTTATAAACATGTACAGTTCAATGATCTGGCGCTGCCCACACAGGTCAGGTCCTGCTGCTCACTTGAGCTTGAACACTGAGAGCATTAAAGTTTTTTTTTTTTGAAGAAATCCCAAAATAATGAACCTATCAGTAGCTGTGACCTTTAATAACCCATGTATTCAGCCTCGGCTGAGTTCTGCAGAAAAGTCTCAGTATTGTTAAAAGTTCCAGCCTCAGAAATGTTCACATGCTGTCAGCAGAGTTTGGTTATCTTGTTAAAGCTGTAAGAAATAAACATCCAGGGCCGGACCGGGGTTGTAAGAGGTCCTGTGCAGAATATCATTTTGGGCCTCCTGTTTTAGTTAAGGTACCCCATACATCGCCATTATGTATTTATATTTGTTGTTTGTGAACAAGTTTAATGCAATGAGCTGGTAATTAATTCCTCAAACTGACTTGTTAGATTGTGGGGAAAAAAGAAGTGTTGCCAGGGGGAGGAGCTAAGTAACCACAGTACAGACAATTAATACTTTAGTAGTATTTAATTGTTGCTCTGTTAATATAAATATCAAACCATGCAGATTTTTTTGTATATGCTATTACAACTAACGCAGGTGTCAACAAGTCTTGTAGATATTAAGTGCTTTTAAAAGACATGCCACGTTGGATCTTGCTTTCATAATTTCCATTCAGTTAAGTTCAGTTTATTTATAGAGCACCAAATCATTGCACTCTTCCGTCCTGAGCAGCGCACTGGCACCAGTGGAGAGGAAAAACTAGCAATCATCACAAACAGTGCTGTCAGAGTGGATGTTTAGTTCAATGAAAACGGAGGAGTTGGAGGATGAGGAGCTGATATTTCTGTTGTTAGCTGAGGAGAAGCCCTATTTTGTAAATTTATCAGGAAAAGGCCCAAAGCATTTCCAACAGACGTTGCGGGAACATGTCGCTGCCTGGCCGGTGCTCACTCCCTCTCAGTCAGCACAGCCACGGTTCTGTGCACAAAATTATCCCACCTCCCTCCACAAGTTCTTTTACTTTAAAGGGATCCCCGATTAGTTGTACCATTAGACTTTATTTGATAAGCATTTATTTTAACTGTAAAATAAAGACTTTAAAAATACTGTAGGCTGTTTAGTTTTGTAAATTTTTAAAAATATATTTTAACACTAACAGAGCCATTTTATTTACATGCAAAGCATTCTGGGTAAATGATGACATCAACTAGGTCATCGGTGCGAGGCTGCTAGCGAGCTATATCCACCCTGAAGGTCAATCTTGGACAATATCTGATGATCGACTCTTTTAAATGAAACCAGAGAGCGTTGAC